CTTTGGTACAATCCACAAGACTAGAGTTTATTTGAGCTTCTATTTTACAGCTGCCATTTCAAACCCAGCAACTGATTCACTTTTGACATCAACCAGACATTTTCATCAAACCAGAGAGATGGTTGGGAATGAAAATTGCAGCAGTTTCTGTTTCTGGCATAAAACAACCAAAGGATGTTTAAAGTAAACTAAACCTTTTAGGATAATGTTTGACCTTTACCAAGTTGTCTTCTAGGCAAAATGCATTAATTGGTTATTGTGTGACTGATTTACTAGCTGCGTTAACACTTAAGTATAATGCTTAATATAACAGAAATTAAATATATGCAATTAAACATATTTTCTAATATACATAGAAAAAGGATTAACAAAAAACACCATGGATGGAAGCCAACATTTTCCATCCATTTCCGATATGCTTATCTCTACTTGGGTCATGAAGGTTGCTGTTGCAAATTTCCAGCTGCCAATGGCCCAGAGGTGGGATACCCCCTGGACAGCTTGGGACTCTATCATAGGGCAACACAAGACAAGACAAACAGGAAAAACAACCATTCAAACACACTCACACTTTAAGGAGAATTTAGAGAAGCAAAATACCTAACAGTAATTTTTTTGGACTTTGAGATGCAACCAGAGTACCCAGAGAGAACCCATGCATGCGCAGGGAGAACATGCAAACTACATGCAGAAAGACTCCGGGTCGGGAGGCTGCAAGGCAGCAAGAAGGTTCCACTGCTCTACTGTGCAACACTGAACAAAATAAAAAACAAATAAAATATAAAAAATAAAACTATAGAACAGGTAAAACCATATAGTATTTGTAAATCAGAAGACAAAACAAAAAAAAAATAAAAACTATTTTTTATTTGGAAAAATAAAGGGACATAAGTAGAAAAAAAAATGCATTACTTTAAAATTTTTCCTTGCACATTTTAACATCTGTAATATTAAAAGTATCTTTAGGTGTGAATAACTCACGTTTTCAATTTATTCATGCAAATGCACTATGCCTAAATTACGGGACACTTATTCAAAAAGAGAGGATATGGATTTTTAGATAAGGTTGAAGCTGACTGTGAGGGTCCATCAATGTGTATACATTCAAGGGAATAAAAGCCTGTGTGACGAAATGCAGTTATTAATCATTGTGCAAGCGTTGATTCATCTGTCGTGGTAGCAGTTTGGAAGATGGACTCTGTTTACTGCTAAAGCTGTTTGAGGGGCTTTGGGAGGCAGCCATCAATCTCTTGGCTATCTTCAAAAGGAGCCAATGCACAAGCATCAGTTTCAATCACCTCCCTAAGACAGGTGGTATGGTAAGCTCAAGCACAATAGTTTTCTCTTTATTTTACCTTTACTTCTGCTCTACCTCAAGGTTATTTTTCCCTCCTAGGGGAGAAATGTTATTAATGTGTCTTATCATAATAATAATATTGCCTAAAAATACTTACTTTACCCTGCCCTTTGGCTCCCTTGCTGTTTGACACCTCATGTTTCTAATTAGCATCTTCAATTAACCCATTTTAATTGCCCACCATGAAAAGGTGGAGAACCCTGGCAAGTTGGTGCCACAGGGAGATGTTTTGTAAATGACTAGTATAATGTCAGTATCTAAAGAAAGGCTTGTACTAATGGACTTTCAACCTTATTGTGTAAATGTACCCTTTATGTAACACAAGCTAGTAAAGGTTAACCTATGAAAAGTATATGTGAGCTGACAATGAGGATGTTTTACGGTGCAAAATTGGTTCAGTGAGGCTGAAAAGCAATCATATTTTGAGTTTACCACCCTAAACATATACACATGCAGAAATAAAACAAACATAGACCAATTCCACCTCTTTTTAGTTCAGGTCAGTGGGACCAGTTGCTTCTGTTAGAGTATGATGGTACCATCTATTGTCCTTCTTTCTTACCATAATTGTTTTTTTTTGTTGTTTCACCAGGTTGTTTGCTGAATTGGTCTCAGAAGCAGAAATTATGTATTGACTTTCCATTGTTCTGAACTTTCCGATCAATTTTGATATTTTAGTTCATAAAAATGAAGCGCACAATAAATAAAACTTAGTCCATTACTTTTAACCGATGCACACAAAACATTCTTTCATATTAACTCTAAATCACTGCTGTAGAAAAGAATATGAAAACAGAACTTGGTTTTTGATTGTGACTTGCTTTCTTTGCAAAGCCTTGATAGTCCAGTTTATTCTCACAGCAATATTGGCCCAATAATGCAGTCAGCACTTTAGTGTAACTCCATGGGAGCTCCCATGCCCTCCAGTAAGATTGAAATCAATTGGGGTTGGATGGTTTTGGCAGTGCAGAGTGCAGAGTGCAGGCAGCACAGTCTTGGATAGTGTTTGTTAGAAGTAGAGGTCAACATTATATGGTCACTTTCCCCTTAAAAAATGTAGATTGTTGTTTATTTCTTTAACAGATTTCACCAAGAAAACTACATAACCTGTCATTACCATGGTATTACAACTCAAGCATTGACAAAATGGATGATGACTTACTTGAGACTGATAATAAAATTGTGATATTTATTGCCTTGCAGTTCTTTATTTACTTAATCCCCAAAGTTATTATGAAAAGCTATTTAGATTTTTATAATTTTATGCTTCAGACCAAAGTGGGTCAACAACGTAGGTTGATTACTCCTGTTTCGAATAACGATGATCAATCTTTAACTAATATGAGCTAAGTATTTGGCATACTTTTGAATTTGGACTGTTAATGCTAGAATATTTAACTTTGAAATGATCACAAGACCAAGCAACTTTGAATCACTAAATGGTCTCAAAGTTAAAAGATTTAAGGCAAGTGTGTGTAGGTGACAGTGTGTGTCCAGAGTAGGTCGAAGCAGCTCAGTGCACTCACTTCTGGACAACTGAAAAGCTACATCAGTGGAGTTATACTTTGGCAAATGGATGATCTTCTCTGTCAATGATTATTCTAGCTAACAAAAAGTTCACATATGTTATAGCCTGGGTCAAACACAAGGTTCTAGATAACTACGCTTTGAGGGGAAAAATGTCCAAGTTTCATAATCAAAGCACAGCTGTAAAGGACTATAAAGATTTGTTCTCATGCATCAAAGAGAAGTATGCAGTAGCTGATGTTTCCATTGTTTTCTTTTTCCCTTTGTATGTACCTAATATTGTATTATTTTAATATACGTGTACAAATAAAGGCATGGTGAATTTAAGGCTAAGCATAAAATATGCAGTTGTTCACTTGCCTAAATGCTAATTTATACCCAATAAATATTCCTCACAGAAGGGGAACAGTACAAAGCCACAGGCTCTAACTCTACAGGTGCTGGTCATAAAATTAGAATATCATGAAAAAGTTGATTGATTTCAGTAATTCCATTTAAAAAGTGAAACTTGTATATTATATTCATACATTACATACAAACTCATATATTTCAGATGTTTATTTTGTTTAATTTTGATGATTACAAATGACAACAAATGAAAATCTCAATTTCATCATATCAGAAAATTAGAATATTGTGAAAAGGTTCAAAATTGATGGCCCCTGGTGCCACACTCTAATCAGCTAATTAACTCAAACCACCTGCAAAAGCCTTTAAATGGTCTTTCAGTCTAGTTCTATAGGCTACACAATCATGGGGAAGACTGCTGACTTGACAGTTGTCCAAAAGACGACCATCGACACCTTGCACAAGGAGGGCAAGACACAAAAGGTCATCGCTAAAGAGGCTGGCTGTTCACAGAGCTCAGTGTCCAAGCACATTAATAGAGAGGCGAAGGGAAGGAAAAGATGTGGTCGAAAAAAGTGTACAAGCAAGAGAGATAACCGCACCCTGGAGAGGATTGTGAAACAAAACCCATTCAAAAATGTGGGGGAGATTCACAAAGAGTGGACTGCAGCTGGAGTGAGTGCTTCAAGAACCACCACACACAGACGTATGAAAGACATGGGTTTCTGCTGTCGCATTCCTTGTGTCAAGCCACTCTTGAACCACAGACAGCGTCAGAAGCGTCTTGCCTGGGCTAAAGAGAAACAGGACTGGACTGCTGGTGAGTGGTCCAAAGTCATGTTCTCTGATGAAAGTAAATTTTGCATTTCCTTTGGAAATCAAGGTCCCAGAGTCTGGAGGAAAAGAAGAGAGGCACTTCATCCACGTTGCTTGAAGTCCAGTGTAAAGTTTCCACAGTCAGTGATGGTTTGGGGTGCCATGTCATCTGCTGGTGTTGGTCCATTGTGTTTTCTGAGGTCCAGGGTCAACGCAGCCACATACCAGGAAGTTTTAGAGCACTTCATGCTTCCTGCAGCTGACCAACTTTTTGGAGATGCAGATTTCATTTTCCAACAGGACTTGGCACCTGCACACAGTGCCAAAGCTACCAGTACCTGGTTGAAGGACCATGGTATCCCTGTTCTTAATTGGCCAGCAAACTCTCCTGACCTTAACCCCATAGAAAATCTATGGGGTATTGTGAAGAAGAAGATGCAATACACCAGACCCAACAATTCAGAAGAGCTAAAAGCCACTATTAGAGCAACCTGGGCTATCATAACACCTGAGCAGTGCCACAGACTGATCGACTCCATGCCACGCCGCATTGCTGCAGTAATACAGGCCAAAGGAGGCCCAACTAAATACTGAGTGCTGTACATGCTCATACTTTTCATGTTCATACTTTTCAGTTGGCCAACATTTCTATAAATCCTTTGTTTTTATTGGTCTTCAGTAATATTCTAATTTTCTGATATGATGAATTTGAGATTTTCATTTGTTGTCATTTGTAATCATCAAAATTAAACAAAATAAACATCTGAAATATATGAGTTTGTATGTTATGTATGAATATAATATACAAGTTTCACTTTTTAAATGGAATTACTGAAATCAATCTACTTTTTCATGATATTCTAATTTTATGACCAGCACCTGTACATAAGCTCTATATTTCAACACATGTCAAATTGTATAAGTTTACAACATCTTATTGTGCTGTCCTTACTCTGAGGAAGGTCAGATCTCGACTACGGTCAATGCTTGTAATCTCAAGGTTGCCCATGACGACTTCACAGTTCTCATAGTATTTCCTCAAAGTGCGATACTGCTGCTCCAGGTCCGACAGCGTGCTTAGTTTGTTCTCAGTGCCGGCACAGACTAGAAAAGAGAAAATATGGACAAAGAGATAGTGATATATTATTTCAAGTGCATTACATAGTGCATGTCTGTTTTGAGTTGTCAATAAACAATAAAATAAAAAAAATAAAAAATTGCTGGCAGATTAAACATTGCTATCAGTATAACAAATTATATGAAAAAAATAAAGACAGCAGCAATGGAAAAAAAAAGGAATGCCACATTTATAACTAAGTTTGATATAAATACATTAATTAGAATTTATAAGAAATAAACTAGATCAGAATAGCAAATTTAGTGTTAACATAATTCAAGCCAAGCAAAGCCTAGCCAGCTTTATTTATTATGGAGCTAAATCAGTGATGGCTTGGACTGACATCGAATTGCCGAATTCCCTTTAAAAAACTCAAAAACTCATGATTATACTATGAATTTTAGCTGCAGCATTTTTTCAATAAGAAATGGTTTCAGTCCCTGCAGCTACGATGTCACCACCACTGATCACTATTTATTCACTGGATTGCTGATAGGCCGTTGTTAATACATGATGCTGTGAAGTCACCAGCCGCCATATTGGTACTCCCCAGTTACACTGGTTGGAGTGTAAACAATATGTGCACTACAGCATCAAACAACAATGATGTTCTCATTTTCAGGGGGGCTTAAGATCTTTAAAATAAAGATAAATGAATCACTTTTACACACACTTGCTGTTTCATAGCATTAGTAGATTACTGTAATTTATGTCATTCCGTAAAAATTCAAAAAATATCCACTGGACTTGGTTTTCAAGATTTGCAGACGTTTCGCCACCTCTCCAGGAAGCTTTCTCAATTCAAATGTCTGGATCCGCAGTGAGTTTGAGTCTTATATAGACAACGCCTTGTATCGCTTGGAAACATGCAATGGTAACCGATGAATGGGTCGTTAGTTCCATCGTTAGCCTGTAATATCTGAACCTGCCTATGATTCTAGGGGTCGGTCGTTAAAGGGGGGATTGCCATTAAGGGGGGGGATTGTCTCCTGTAATACCTGAAACCTGTCTATGATTGTTACGGGATGACTATGACCTGGATGACTGAGAACCTTCATCAGCACTGTAATTTATGGTAAAAAATAGGCAAATCACATTGCATATTCAGTATGAAGTCCATGAAGACTATAAATCATGTAATATGATTTAAAGACTTCATGATTATACAAATCCATCACAACAAATTAAATGTTAATGGAGGATAATAATACTGTTCTTAGATATAAAGAATGTTACACACACACAAACACCATCTGATGATGTGCCAAAAGTGCTAAATTGATCATGTATGTGTAATATACATTTATTGATTACATTGTTATGGTAATTACATTATATTACAGGCATTTTTATTGCGTGACTCTGTGATAGTGTGGAGTACCAAGATGGTAGCGGGTGACCTTAAATCTAACAGCAATCCAGTGTATAAATAGAGATCAGTGGTCACTACAAGCCGGCACTATTTTTGTGTCAAGAGACGGGGCTAAACTGATGGCTCCTTCTGGGTCCTTCTGTTTTTCCAGTACTATTCTTCATGTAACTGCGGTAAACTAATGAAGGACTCCTATTCAAGTACCGCAACTCAAACACAAGTATTCATTATGTTATCAACTTTTGGTTGAATAAAACTACAGGTAATCCAGTAGGGGTGGCTCAATGGTGTTAATGAAATCCAAACATCAGATATTACATCAATAAATGTAACACATAAAACACAACCACAAGAGGTGAAAATAGCTGTGATGCACTCTGACTGAATGATCACTTTTCCCTCTCGACTCTGTTAGTCAAAATCCTTAAGCATGTTTGCCAGTAACCATTCAGCAGGCGGCTTCACGACTTGCCCCTGCTCCGTAGACCCTCTAAGAGGTTTAGCCTCACTGGAAGTGATGTATTTTGTCTTGTTATTCAATCAGGGCTCTACTTTATCCCTCTTTACCTCAATAGACCAAGGCTCAAACCTCAACAGAGATTTCTCATAGAGGGTGACCAGCAGCTTCCTGCTCTAAGGAGGTCACTACTGCATATTCAGTTAGGAAACCTACTTGGAGCAGTATGAAGCTTGGTTTATCAAAAATATTGTAAGCGCTAAAAAAACAAACAAACAAACAAACAAACAAACAAACAAACCCATCACATTCACTCATTCATTCCTTTTTTTGCATCACTATACTGTTACATATTATTTTGTTTTAGGGGGGTTAATATAAACATTCTAAGGTCTAACTACAAAATAAGTAAATGATTAGAACTGCAATAAACAATTACAAAAGAAATAATTAGCATGTTCTCTGCCTCAACTTTTTTCCATTAGTATGTTTTTCAAACTCGTTGAACTGAAGGATGGTTATATACAGTATTATTAAATTCTATCAAGTGAAAGTTTCATTAGTATTGCTATGGCATTGTTGATTCCCCCATACACAGTCTCATGGTTGACAGACAACCCTGCACTAAGGCATGGGGGATGACTAGACCTTCAATGAGTCTAGTCACTCTGCCACTGTTGATATTTTATTCCTCTCTTTGAACATCTCTACCTTGAAAGATATTTACTTATGCTTTGCATCTTAATACAAGATTCCTTCCTGCACGCTACCATGAACCATTCAAAGTTCTCAATGGTAGATATTATTTTCCTTCTTATTGAACCCTAGCATTCTGCATCCTTATGCTTATAATAAAACTAATTTACCCTTTAACTCACAGATTCACACACGCAGTGTGGAAAAATATTGCCAATTCCATTTAGTTTGTCTTCTACAATTATAAAACAGTTACATGGTGTGGGAAAAGTACACAAAGCTTGAGCCTTGAGGCAACTGGGGCTGTAAAGAGAAATGGGACTGTGTTTAAATACTTCCACATCGAAACAGATATTAGATAAGTGGAGCTAGTCCAATGTGATCTAAACAGTACCCATATGAACAGGTGCTGATTGGCTTTGTTGCACATAGCATACTATGGTGCTCAGGAATGATATACGGCAGACCTGGGTGTTTTCAATAACAGTTAGTGTGGGCTAGAGGGGAGCTAGTGGAGGTAGAAAAGGGTCATAAAGTGAGGATAGGTGTAATAAACTGTTATTGCACCCTTGGGGTAGGCCACTGAAATTAGAGGAATGGGATTTTGTGGCATGTGATGTCTGCTAAAATGTACTTTTTTTAAGCCCATATGCTTTCGCAAGTACCCCCCAAGATGCCAACTGCACCTAGAACAAAATCAGTATGGATAATATGCGTTTATGGATAACAACATGAATTGATATTTTATGTCAAATATTCACCCATGGACAAACACTTTCAATGTATCTCTCTTAAATGGTAAATGCATGTATTTTTCTCTTGTTCACTCTAAAACCTTTGCTTCTTATGAAAGTGAAATGAGAAGTTAAAATTCTATGTTGTAAAATAGAAAGAAGTTTTTAATTAACATTAATTCAACATAATATAATTGAGGTATTATTTAAATTTGGAATCTGAAATTTGAAAGGTTTGCATGATGATCTTCGTGCATTTGAATGTGAAATATTTGCCGGGAATTTTTTTGTATGCACAGTGGGCCTTCATGATTATGTAAATTATATTTAGGGAGTAAAATATTGGCTAAAGTACAAAACTAGCTATGGGGACTACTGCAGAGCATTTATTTTAAGCTATCCTGAGAGATACTAAGGTTTGTGAAATTTTACTGCAAAAATAAAAGTTTTTTTTTTTTTTTTTTTTAGCAGTAAAGGCACCTACTATATGGGATCAAATCTATGAAAATTGAAGTTCAAATCACTTCCAATTAAGCCTCAAACTTAGTGGGATGATCCAGTCAGTGACTAAGCATGGTTGTCACAGTGTTGAAGGCAGACAGAAAAGCTTTCTTCAGCTTAATGTATGCTTGACCTCTTCATGAGGTCTGCACAGCCAAATTACATCATTTTCAGTCTCCAGGTCCCTCATCCCAGTGTCTGCATGGACAAAATTCCAACACAGCCTACCTATAAAAAATTCTAACTAGGAAAACATGGCAGGTGAGCAACAGCTCCTAACAGTGAGAGTTCACAAAAGTAAAAATCTGGAGACACCTCTGATTAAGTCAATAAATACCACACTATCAACAGATTGTGAAAACTCTGACTTTGATGAGGTTGAAAATGGTTGTGTTTTCTGCTTCCATGTGTAGTGTTCTGTTGTAAGTGTGCAGATGGGCTCTGCGCGGCCCCCCTTAGAGCGGGCTAGAAAGGAAAAAAGGGGTATACAAAGTATATATGCTGCTGAAGTTGTGAGGAGCAGCTAATTTTTCGGTCAATCATAACTTCACCCTTAGAGATAGACATCTCTTTAGTGATAAGAGCATCTCTTTAGTGATAAGCACAGAATCAAAGATCCCCTTTAAATCAAATTCTGATTGAGCTGTTGACCCAGCTGCCATTTGCAGAAATTTGCACTAGGTTAAATGTAACATTTAAGATGCATTGGTCAGGCTTTCTCTCTGATCAAAGGAGATAGTGATCACTGATCATTGGATCACAGTGATCAAATGTAAGAAATTTAAACAAGTCTACATTTTACAAGAGAAGTGTGATGACATGGAGCATTGTATGTCTAGAATAAATATTCAAATCATAAGTGTTCCTGAACATCTAGGATTAAGTGCCCTAGCAGTGACGTCCCTGTCGCTAAAGAGAAAGTCATTCAGATCGAAGAAGGAAACCAACAGGAGCTGGAAACAGACCCTAAGTCATCATTGCCAGGAAGCATAATGAGGAAGATACGGTTGACTTCCTGGGGTCAAGCCAATGGTAATTTTGAATCTCTAAGCTTCAAAAGGAATCCTATCTTAATTTTTCCAGATGACAGAGGAAGGATTGCTTGAGGCCTGGCAGGAAATACAGACATCAGGAAAATGCAAAGGCATTTTATACAAAGAAGTTCCATGGTCCAATCCTGCCAATAGCTAGAAAGGACATGACTGGTACTGTAAAAGTTCTGATCAT